AAGGAATATCGTGATGGTACATGTGACTGTACATTTATTAAGAATGCAAGTAGAAAAAGTGGGAAAACATCACTCTTTTTCTTGGAGTTAGAAATTTCAACCCTAACTGACAAATTCAAGTTTGCTCTTATTGAAAAATTTCAGTGGGGGCACCCACCTATGGAAGTTATCAAGAAAAGTTTTGATGATCTCAAATTAGCAGGAAAGTGGAAAGTGGGGTTCATGGATGGGAGACATGTATTGATTCAATTAACCATGGCTAAAGACTACACTCGGATTTTCTCCAAAAAGTATCTCAACATTGCTGGTAAATCAATGAAGCTATTCAAATGATCTCCTGATTTTGACCCTAATCACGAAACTCCTACTGTACCGGTATGGTTTAGTCTACCAGGTCTCAAGCTGCACTTTTTTCATCATCATATTCTTTACTCTATTGGGGCCATAGGGCCATACTTGGGGACTGGGGACTCTATGAAGCTAGATCTATCGACTTTCAACCTAACCAGATCTTTTGTGGCCAGAATACTTGCGGAAAGAGATATTACTTTACATGATGTTACTGAAGTCTGGTTAGACACAACTCATAATAGATACTGGCAACAAATCGTCATGAAGCATAGACCGCCTTACTGATCTCATTGTAAGATGTTTGGGAATACTCTTGATAAATGCCATAAGTTTCATCCTAATTTGAAATCTAAAGATCAAGTGAATAAGGATGGATCTAATCCCACTACTATGAACATATTTGCTCCATCTGGAGAGAAAGCTACCACATGACAAGTTTTAGATATCGCTAAAGATCAGTCGCCTACCATCTCTGTTGAGAAGGTGCAAACCGATCCTTTACCCAACCTCGCATTTCCTGATGAAGAATATTATACTACAGGTATAAATCCAAAAGTGCTTATATCACTCATTGCTATTGAAAAAGACTCACTTACATGTCAAGACACACGAGAGTGCTTCTTTAATTCAATCAAAGATCAGTTTTTACAACAAGCGGTTACTTCTAATGTTCAACATTCTACACATGTCCGACACACTTTAGACCATTCCACTGATTAGGCGGCCAATCTTCGGATGAATAATGACAGTTCTATTCCAGGAGAAAGAAGAAGACTAAAGGCCGACTCGAGCTTGGAAACTTATTGGATGATACTTTGGTCACTACTGGCAATGACACTCATCTTACAAATTTATTAGCTTGAACCTTTCCTATAGGGGTAGAGACAAAGGAAAATTGGGTCGCTCTCTAGCTACCTGATACTACGTTTTTTGACATTTTTTGTTTTTTCTTTAAGTCTCATGTAATTTTCTGTATTTTCTCTTTTTTTGGAACCTTTTGTATGTAATGGTTATCTTGGGGGAAGGGTGCCATGCTTGGGCCCTTCCATACAATCTATATGTATCCTTATTTCCATTTTAATATATTAACCTTTGGGCTTTCTCAAATATATATATATATATATATATATTAAAGAATTATCTTATATAAATCAATGATTATTATGTTCAAATGCGTAGTCATTCACTTGCATGTAAAATGTAATTATACAACTATAAAAGACTCATCAATCATTCCTTATTTTCTTTTTAGATCTTTATGTGTGTATATGGTTGGTCTCTTGTGCCGCCTTCTCAGAATGGTAGGCACCGATCATATAGAAATGTAATGATTTCTCACAGAAGTTGTCACTTTGTGAATTTGTTTGTTCGACTGGCCAATATTCAAAAATATATTACAAATAATGCTATAATGGCAACACACATGCATTATATAAATTTATGTTATACTAACAATTCCCTAATAATGACTCATTATGCTGATAAAAGCTTATTACATATTAATATAGGTCTTGATTTATCTAAGCTTTAGGTATTTCTCCGAAATTAAGATAGTGTACATTAAGTTTCTAGGAAATTTTGTGACATGTAAAATGGAAAAATTATTTATCAAACATATTAATGTGATCACATGAAACATTATGAATAAATAAAGTATATTCTACCATTTATTATTAATGATTAAATCATACAAACTAGCTGCTCTTAAATAATACACCTATAACAAGAAATGGAATATTTATCCCTTAAGTAGCAAATAATACACATAAATAACTTAATGGAATATTTATCTCTTTAGTAGCAAATAATACACATAAATAACTTAATGCTTTCTAAATAGATTATCTTTCTATAATCATTATTAATTTATTAAAAAAATAGCTTCTCTTATGCTAATAAGATGAGTTTCACCACAGAAACTATTATTAAACATAAGCCGAAATCTATATTGATATTCCTTTTAATTTTCTTAAAATATTTCAATGTTATAATTTGAACATCATATATAATAATTTAACATTAATCTCTCTTCAATGCAAACATTATAAAGTTAATAATATAGGGTTAATGGTCTGAAACCCTTTATGTCAAACCCTCACATCAAAATTGAGCTGAGCGATGTGTTTCCCTCTCAATTCCTTGTTGATCAAACTTGCAAATCATTATTTACTACAAAGTAGAGGTGTCATTAAATGATCTCACTCTACAATTTGATCTGAATTTGACTTGGAAAATTTGGGGTTGAGTTGACCCAATTACTACTTATTGGGTTTGGATCTGAATAATAGACCTAATTATTATTTGTCTTATATTTGAGTTGACTTGAATAATTCAAATTAACCCAATTATTTTTTAGATTCGGGTTACATGGTTTAATCGGGTTAAACATGTTCTATTCAGATTTTTTGGGTTGTATTTATCTAAAAAATTGCATGATTCATATAGCCAGGGGATTAGACGAGTGGAGCTTTGTTGAGGCGAGTTTGGGTTGCATTAAGCTTTAGCCAATTATTTGACCCATATAATAAATGAGTTACGTTAGGGTTCAGGTCAAGTAAATTTGGGACGGTTCATCAAATCTGATTGCATTAAATTGAATTGGCACCCATATAAAACACATAGTAGAGATAAGATAAGGTAGAGATTTAGGGCTTAGTCTTTACCTTCAGATCAAAAAAGAACAAGAAAATAATTTATGCAAGGCCTTCACACACCGTTGGCTGCCTCTCTCTTGCTATTATGTCTGCTTTCCTCTCTCTTCCTTTCGATTTTTCATTCACACTCGATCTCTTTTTTCGACACCTATCTTGCCTCAACCTATGAAGGATTAAAAGAGATAATGATGCATCGGGTAAGGAATTCAGGCTGGTGAGAAATATTTAGTTTTTTGGCCACCTAGGAAGGGGCAATTTATTAAGCGTTATTACATACTTGAAGAAGTACCAATCCAAGCCTTCTGGGTTAAAGAGTAGAATATCTATCTCAACATGAACATGAGCCTCAATGGATGAGAAAAAGTCTAGCAATAGCAGTTCTCACTTGTATTTGTTGACAAAAATATTGAACTCACTCTAATTTTTGTGGTGAACTTGTAACCCAACCAAGGTTAATAGGGGCTCAACAAAAGAATGGGGACCATGCCAACATATACATTTGTAGACCATTTACATAATATGGCCGTCGAGAGAGGTCTAAAATAATCTATTTTCATGGCTAGTTAGATGAGCATGTGACATCGATCAAGATGATTAACATAGAGGTCTCCAAACTAGAAAGAAAAACTGAAATGTATTAATGATTTGCACATGATTGATCATATGCAACTTTACCAACGAAAGCGAAGGAACATGGGGCTAACAGATCATATATCTATGCCTTCGACAAATAGGAGCACGTTTAACCTAAGAGCTAGTGGCTGTCTTCTGCTTTACAGAATCTGAGCCTTGCTGAAAGATTAAAGAGAAGCTGACAAGTGGGATTTGCTACAAGGATTTCTTTCCTCTAACATCATTCGTGGACAATAACAAATGAGTAGATGAATTGCGAGGCTGAACACCTATGTCAGGAGAGATCTGACATGAAGGGCATTGATACTATCACCAATCATAACAACAGCAGTGGTTGGAGGATAAAAAGGAATGGGCGCAGATGAGGCATGTGACAAAACCTCAACATCAGTTTTGGGAAGCATCGAAAGAGCCAAGAAAAAAATCCATGGAAGTGGGTTGGATGAGAGGGGGGTTTTTGGCCATTTAAGGCTCTTACCATACATGAGAGAGCAAGGGATAGCGGGAATGGCGCTAGTGATAGCAAGCCCCCATGAGTAGCATCACATGAGGGCCATTGGCCCAAGAAAGGATGGGCACAATGTTCATGGAAGGAGGGATAAGGAAGTCATGAGTTCAGGGAGAAGTTCAAAGGATTGTGTGGAAGGCGACCAACATTGGATTGGAGCTCGGAAAGTCAAGCAAATTGCGAGTGGGATGAAAGTTGCATAGCTAGATTGGCCGATAAAGAAGTTGTAAGCATGTGGGATCGGCAGGTGTGGCATGCTCGTAGGATGCAATCACAAGAAGCAAGCGATGATGTATGTGGAACGAGAGAAATCACTTAGCCTTCATGAAATCATAATCACTCAATAGGGTGTTGAATGGGCGAACGGCTACTAGAGTTTGAATGCAGATACATTATATTTAGCTAATTTCAACATTACTAGGTTTAGATAGCATTTAAAATTTGTTGTAGTCTTTGCAATTTATATTATCAGATACATTATATTTAGTTTATTTCAACACTTCTCTGTTATAATGCTAGGACTCCTTTTAATAGTGATTCTTGGTACTGTATGGTTTTATTATTGATGATTGCAATGAATTAAAATTGTTTCCTCTCCAACCCTAGCCTCAGGCTTTCTTTCTTATTTCATCTCTTCTTGCTCTCCCTATTTCTTTCTTCTTTGTCATCTTCAGTACAATTGTTTATTATTTATTATGTTTTATTAATTTCCTTGTGGAATCTGGGGACTTCACAGCATTTGCTTTTCCTTTTTTCTTTTTTCCCCCTACCTTTCCATTGTTTTACATACACTTATTAAAATTTCGTGAAATAACCTATCATGTTGATCAAAATACGTTTGTCTGTTTGGGCAGGTCTTTACCAAATCTTGAACTTGTTGGTGGAAGCTCCTTGATGTCAATTTTAAGGTGGAGCTTCAAGACAAACATGGAGAAAACAATGAGCTCATATGATAATGGGCAGATTACTATGGTACAAATTTTCTTGTTTCTTTTTAGAAAGATTTACGTACATACCACTCAATTTCTATGTATTTACATATCTGACACCTAAACTTCAATTTTTATATGCATGACACCTTACCTATGCATGAAAAGGTGCATTTTACAATTTAAAAGTTAAAATGATGGTATATTAGACATGATAGGAAAGGTTTGGATGGTATAAATGTAAAAAGTAAACTTTAGGTATTAGATATGTAAATACGTAGGACTTGGGTGGTATGTATGTAAATTTTCTTCCTTTTAAGTTGATGCATGAGCCAAGCACAAATGGTAGAGTAGAAAATTAACTATATAGATAAAAAAAATAACCCGAAATTCTTTTATGTTCTTTTGGTGTAGTATCTGTTAATAGGAACCTTAGGGGAAGCTTCGGTTGCCAGCAAAGCTTGAGTTGGTTTTTATAAGGTTTTTCTCATTGTTAATCAATCTTTCTATAGAACAGTTCTTTAAATTAATGTCCTTTTGCTGCTCAGTAGAACAGATCTGCAACTTTTAACATCTTTATTGAGTAAATTTTTATTTTGAGGATATCCAGCGTACTCATGCAATCCGTGGTTCCTCGACAGGTATAATTCATGTTAAAATTCTATTCTTCTAGCGTGCTAGTTTTAAAAGCGGAAGATTTACTTACATGCCATTCAATTACTATATATTTATATTAACACCCAAACACCAATTTTTACATACCTACCATCTTTTTTTATGAATGAAAAGGTGTATATCAGAGTTTCACTTTTCAAAAATTCAAGTCGTGGTATTTTTGATGCGATATGAAAGATTCGGGTGGTATAAATGTAAAAAAGTAAAGTATAGAAATTGGCTGATAGGCTTGTAAATTCCCCTAAAAGGTAGTGTGAAATTTGCTCACAACCTGCAAATCAAAATTAATCCGGAAGGTTAAAAATTCATTGAGGATAATCAAAAGATGCTCTTGAGGATGATCAAAAGATGCTCTTGATTTCTATTTCTAAGATTCTGAATGTGACTCGTTTGTTTGTGGCTCTGATATGAGTAATCAAAATCTTAATCTGAATTGCAACAATTCCTCATGAACCAAACCTTGTTGCATGCTCACGGCCTGATAGTGTAGCATCCCAATTATTCAATTTAGGGAAAATTACATGCATATCTAACCTTGTTGCATGCTCACAATTCTTATGTATTTACATATCTAACACCTAAACTTTTATTATTACATTTGTAATACTTTGGTGACTTAAACCGTGGATATTTGAGAAGACCATGTGGAGGATTTGATTGGGACAACTTAGGACAGCTGCAGCTGTGTAGCTATTGAAGAAGTTGTTGTTCAAAATATTGAGGTGACTATTACAAATTTTTTTTTTTTAATGTCAGGCCACTGTCTTTTAGTAGCCAACGCAGTAGCCAGGTCTTGTGGGAAAACATAGCTTTGCCAAACAGGAAAAAACTGTTGTGTGGCACTCCACTGTCACCACACTGGCGCCCCAAACGCACCCTTAGTGTTGATGAACAAGTACTGGATGAAGACTTTTAATTTCTACTTCGGAGGTTAACTCTGGATCAGAGACCGAAGATTCGGCCCAGACAAAACTTTATCACGAACCATAAACTCAATGGCCCATAATTAACTTCAATTGTTCTATTTCATGTTCATATATATTTGTGATAATGGGAAATGATGTATATTTGTGGTAACGGGAAATGAACGTCTCACAACAGAAGGCACAGTTCTTGAGACCATTGATCCCAACCATCGCATATGGGAGAATCGAGATCATATATTTATGTCTTGGCTAGACAACTCATTGACCACTTAAGTAAGTGAAACTTTTCTGCTCTACAAACTAGCCAAAGAAATCTTGGAGGATGCAAGCAAAGCATGTTCCAACACTGAAAATATTGTAGAGTTGTTTGAAATCAAAACAAGCTTTATGACCTTCACTATTGAGTGCTAAGTGTCACACAATACTTCAACACTTCGATAAAGTAATGGGTACAATTGGATATGTTTAAAACACGCGTGAAAATGTCCATATGATGCTATGATATTTAAATCCATCATTGAGAAGAAAAGAACTGTCAAATTCTTAGTAGGACTAAGTCGGGATTTGGATGAGGTGAGTGGGAGGATCATAGGAACAAAGTCTCTTCCATCAACCCATGAGCCTTTGTTGAAGTTAGGAGAGAAGAGAGCAGAAAGAAGTTGATGTTGTTGAGGCTTATACTTGCTCAAAGTATAAGAAGCATTGTTCTCCATGTTTCAAGAAGATTGGGCATATCAAGGACAAATGTTGGAAACTTCATGGAAAGCCTGCAGTGGAAACCAGGGCAAGAAAGGAAAGATCAAGAGAAAAGGACTAATGCTGCTACCACATCCGAAGGGTTGGTTGAATCACTCACCAAGGAGCAGCTTGAAGTACTAAAAAAACTCTTTAGAGATAATTTAGAGTGGCACACCAACTTCATGAATTACCAAGGTAATATATCCTCCTATCTTGTTAGTAACGAGATATTTAGAATTTGGATCATAGATTCAGCAGTCTCTAATCATATGATCAAAGGCATTGATGTTCTAGTCAACTATCAAGAAGTTTCTACATCTAGATCGGTAATACTTGCAGATAGATTACACTCAAACATTGTTGGGAAAGATGTGGAGCGCTCTCATGTTTTTAATTTTTCCTCCGTTTTTATGTTTCACAGTTGACTGTCATTTGATTTTAATTAGTAAGCTTATTCATGATATGAACTGTATTACTAAATTTCTTGCAAAATATTTTGAATTTTAGGTGGTGGAGTTGGGGAAGCTGATTGACATACTAAAATGCATCAAGACTTATACTTGCTCAAGAAATGTTTCATTCTAAACACATAAAAATGATCACACCTCCATATTTACCTTAAAATTTTGAGCCTGTATAGTCCATGTTTATCAAAAATCTGGTCTTTGTAATAATATTGTCGCTCGGGTCATTCTAATTGCAATTATGTTATTAAGTTGTATCCTCATTTTTTAATCAATAAAAAACCCAGTTTTTATCAATATGAGATTTGTTAACTTGTCAAACACTCTAGAAATAATTATAACACTCTAGTCCATGTTTATCAATATGACCCTCACACCCTTTTGTCATTATCCACAATGATATTTGGGGACCTTCAAAATGAAAACCTTAATTAAGGTCGGATGGTTTCTCTTTTATTGACAATCTCACTAAAATCATTGGTTATTCCAAATGAAGGAGAAATTTGAAATAACTCAAATCTTCCAAACCTTCCATGACATAATTCAAACTCAATTCCAGTGCAAAATAAAGATCATCCAAAATTGATAATGCAAAAGAATATTTTAACTCCATTCTTGGGTCCTACGTTTCATAAAATGAATTCTTCCATGTGAGTGTTTCTGTTTGTTTTTCACTTTTTTTATTTTAAAAAGAGTCGCCAGCTTGTTAAAATCAAAGTGTAGATACTTCTTGTTTGTATATACTTCTTTTAAAATAAAAAAAAAAGAAAAATGAACGGAAACACTTACTACATAGACTGCCCATAACTAGAGAGTCAAGTCTATATACTTCTTTCGCGGATATTGGTTCAAGGTACCTCCGCCCAAACAAGCCCAATCTTGTTTGGGCGGACATATTTGACCTATCATTGTGAGGTTTATCGCACGTAGACTCTCCATGTTTTTTTTTTCTCTTGTTTGTCTCTTTGTCGTACGTCCCTTCTTATTCAATTCCTCTCCTCTTTGAATCATTAATATGATTCAGGATGGAGATTTATTCGAATAAGAGAAGTATACAACGATCGACAAGCTAGCGACTCCTTTTAAAATAAAAAAGAGAAAAACAAATGAAAATAATCCACTAGGATCTAAAAAGAACCGAGAGAAAAATAATTATTATAATACTGTAATATATTTTAACCTGGATATGTCCTCGCAGCGAAGTGGACATCATTCTTTACTAAAGTCGTCGTTCCAGACGCATCGACGCGGTTTGTTTCGTCGGTCGGGGTTGTTCAATTCACTTTTTATCAATTGAGCCAAAAAACGATAATTTAATGCATTTTAGTTTGCCCGCAAAACCGTGGCAAAATGAATGTCCTTCCCGGGTGAAATCGACATTCCGGACACGCTCGCGCACTCTGTTTTTTCATTCGGGGTCATCTCGATGATTCCGCTGACGTCCGGGTCAAGTTGAGTCATTTTTGCGCGCAGTGCAACGAATACCATTTGTTGACTCGATCGGGGTTGTCCGATTAACAGAACGTCGACCGGCCTTCGCTCAAGCGAATGCCAAAAACCTAGCAAAGCAACCCCGGCTACAAGCCCTTCAATACGTGTCGGTGGGTCTCGAACGAGAACGGAGGTCTCGAGTTACAGGTAACTCATTTGCACAGAGTGCGACCCTGACATGCTCAAGTGGACATCACACACATGCGACATAAAAAATGGATGCCAACAGTGAGTTTATGTATTGATATTAAACACCAAAATTGATTAGCTGAGAGAAAGAGTAAACATCTCTTTGAGGTATCTCCCTCAATTGCGATGTCCCATCAAGTTGCAAGACATTTTTGGGGGAAGCAGTTTTTACTTCAACATACCTTATCAATCGAATGCCTAGTCGGATACTTAACTTCAAAACACATCTTCTTATTTGGAAGGTTATCTATATTCATATCAGAGCTTTCTTTTCTACTATATCACTTAAAATCTTTGGGTGCACATCATTTGCTTCCTTACATTCCCAAAATCACACAAAACATGACCTTAAATCTATCGAAGACATTTTTCTTGGGCATGTTACCAACAAAAAAATATATAATTGTTACTCATGTTACGGGAAAATACTACACCTCCATGGTTGTCAATTTTTTTTAAAAATCAATCCCAATACTTCAAATCTAATGTTCAGGGGGAGAGTGTAAATAAACATCAAATTTGGGATGCACTTTATGACACATACATGGCCTAATCACCTACTCCACTTAGCCCTCCTATCCTTGTTGAGGATGCCCAACCAAGCTAACCAACCCAACCTGAAGTTCAGAATAAAGTATTTCATGTGTGCACCAGGAGAAATAAAAAACTTGAGCGGGTGGAAGACAACTTGTGAGGGAAAAACTACTCAAGTCAAAAAGCGAGTCCCTGTTCACCTGAAACTTCGAGTAAGGAGTTTTTTACTCATGAATTATCCCCTGCCTCTTCTGATATTTGTGATAAAAAAAAATTGTATTAGATACCAAATTTAGGGGTCTCTAGCTTTTTGGAAGCTATCCTCATCCAACAAAGCTTTTATTTCTAACTTTGATGGTATGTTGATTTCTAAATTCATTCATGATGCTCTTAAAAATCTCCAATTGAGTAAAACAGTTGAAGAAGAGATTCAAGCACTAAATCATAATAGTAAATGAATTTTTATCAAACTATCTCAAGATAAGAAGTCGGTTGGGTGCAAATGTGTATTCGACATCAAATAAAAACGTTGATGAGCATATTGAGAAATTCAAATCCAGGCTTTTTGCAAGAGGGTTTAGTGAAATCCTATGAGATCGACTATCAAGAGACATTCGTACCAATTGACAAACCTAACACTATTAGATTTTTCCTTTAAACAATAGTTGACAAGGAATGCATCAACTTGACGTAAAAAAAGACCGTTCTAAATGCGGATCTGAAAGAAGTATATATGAAGATATCACCATGATTTGAGAATGATTCCAACAAACATGTAGTATGTAAACTTAGGAAGCCTCTTAGGGAGTGTGTTTTTCAAGAGCAGTAAACAAGAAATGGGGATTGCATCAACTTGAACACTATTAGATTTTTTCTTTCAACAACAGTTGACAAGGAATGAGAATTGCATCAACTTGACATAAAAAGACCATTCAGAATGGGGATCTGGATGAAGTGTATATAGAGATTCCACCATGATTTGAGAATGATTCGGACAAACACTTAATATGTAAACTCAGGAAGCTTTTCAGGGAGTGTGTTTTTCAAGAGCAGTTAACGAGAAAAGGTGATTGCGTCAACTTGACATAAAAAAAGACTTTCCTGTACAAGGATTTGAGAATGCTTCCAACAAACTTTTAATATGCAAACTCATGAAGTCTTTCTATGGATTTAAGCAATCACTAAGAGTGTGGTTTGAAAGTTTGCTAAAACTATGAGATCTAATGGGTATTCTCAAAGTCAAGCTGATCATTCTCTATTTATACTCAGGTTGGTAAAATTGTTGTACTAATAGTATATATGGATGAAAGAGAGATTCTCAAAATTAAAGAAGTGCTTACCGCTGAGTTTGAAATCAAGGATCCAGGAACCGTGAGATATTTTCTAGGTATGGAGGTAGCAAGGCCCAAGAAAGAAAACATCATATCATAGAAGAAATATATCATAGATTTATTGAAGGAGACATGGATAATTGGATCTAAGCTTGTCGATACTCCAATGGATTCCAACTAGAAGTCAAAGAGAGGAGAAGAAAACTTCTCTATTGATAAGGTAAAATATTAAAGATTGGTAGGAAAACTCATCCACCTGTTGCATACTAGGTAAGATATTGCATAATATATCAGTGTTGCAAGCCAAAACATGAAAGACCGAAATGAAGAGCATCTGGAGTTGGTGTGCAGAGTTCTGAGGTTTCTCAAGTAGACTTCTCATTATGGATTAATTTTTTGAGAAAACCAGAAGCATAGAGGTGGAAGTTTACACTGATGCTAGTTGGGCTGGGGAATGCACCGACAAAAGGTCCATCACATGTTGCTCTTATGTTTAGAGAAATCTGGTGACATGGAGAAGTAAGAAACAAGCAGTTGTCTCTAGAAACAATGCATAATTAGAGTATAGGGCACTCGTCTTGGTAATTTCTAAAGGAATCTGGATTCAGAAATTGTTAAGGGAACTGAGATGTACTTCTAATGGGTTTATACAAATGTTTTGTGACAACCAAGCAGCTATCGGTATTGCCAAGAATATTATGCATCCTGACAGGACCAAGTTTAAGTTGATAGACACTTCATCTCTGAAACGGTTAATGAGGGGGGATTATACAGTTAAGCTACATCCTAATACACCAACAAGTTGCTTATGTCTTCACTAAAGCTCTTCCTTTGAGCGCCTTCTCAGAGATCAATATCAAGCTTGGCCTCTACAACATCTATGATCCAACTTACGGGGGAGTGTGGAAATCTGAGAAGATCTAGGGGAGGACTTGATGGAGGAAACTCAGAAATCCTTTGATTTGTTTATTCCCTTCTTATTTTATGTTATTTTATTTTTTATTTCAGAATAATTTTATTTCTTATTTATAGTTAGATATATTTGGTAAGTTTGTAAATCAGGAGGGATTGTTTTCCCTATATGTATGTATATATATATATATGTATGTACCTTACATGTGAATAATACAATCAAGGGATTTATTCCTTTTAAAACCCATTTTCTACATAAACCTTCACTTTTTATAAGTAAATAATGGTGGTATTTTTTTATTTGATCTTAAGGATTTGAGTGTTAAGTATGTGAATATGAAAGTTTAGGTGTTAGATATGTAAATGCATAAAAATTGTGGGGTACATATGTAAATGTCCCTTAAATTATCAAGAAAGGACTAGCCGAATCTGATTGTTATATAAGCGAGGAGCAGTTTCCAATTTACATAAGTAACACAATTCTTATTTATTTAACATATCTCACATCTTAACTTTCATATTTACATGCAGAACACTATGGTGCTTTAAACTTATGTATGTAAATGCCCTTTAATGAAATCGTCAGTGCAGCGTATGGACAGAAGAATTCCTTAAGAAAACATATCTTTGCTTCCTAGCAATTTTATTCCTGTTCTGCATTGATTCTTCAGCGTGTTTGATAGGATGGGGAAATGGCGTGAGGGGCACTTCTGCGCATTTTAATTTCTGTTATTTGGAGATGAAGAATTCTCATGGAGAACTTTCATATTGTGAAATTACAGGTGAATGGAAGCGAAGTTGCTTTTATCTCCCTCTTGGCCTGCGAAAATGACTTTAGGTATGAAATGTTTTAGAACTAAACAATGGGCCGAATATAAATTATTGGGACATTTACATACATTCCACACAATTCTTATATATTTACATATCTAACGCCTAAACTGTCATATTTAGAGCATACCATTTAAATCTTTAACATCGCATCAAAAATGCAATCATCACTGTCTTTTTGAAAGTTAAGTATACCTTTTCATACATAGGCTTAAGAGACTAAGGTGTAAATATCAAACTTTGGGTGTTGGATATTTAAATACGTTAAAATTGTGTGGTACGTATGTAATTTCCTCAAAGTTATTTCTGTAGCATAAAACTTGATATGTTTCTCTTCAGAATTCCAGAATCTCTGCCTTCCCTTCACGACAAAGTTCTAGCAGCAGCTGCCGATAATGCCATTGCTCTCTATGCTAATCAGAAAAACAAACAGGTGCACTCTGTGCTTTGGAATTAGGGGTGTAAACGAGTCAAGTTGAGCTCAAGCTCGAGCTTGATTAGTTGATCAATTTTGAGATTGAGTTTGAGATTGAGATTGAGATTGAGCTTGAGCTGGCTTGGTTGTTATGAAAGAGAGAAAATAATGTTAACTTGAGCTAGTATTATAATAAAATGACAGAAAATGAACAATTAGGAGATATATAATAAAAATTCACTTAATATAAAATATAAAAATAATTTCTTAGACATTTTTTAAAATTTAAAGATGAAGTCCTGAATTTTAATATACTTTGAGTATATTTTATATTAATAGTTTGGAAAATTTCAGACACACCACTCGATTCTTGTGTATTTAAATATTTAACACTACATGACACTTTACCTATGCATTAAAAGTGTTTTTCACTTTTTAAAAGTAAAAAATGGTGTTATTTTTTATGCAATATGAAAGATTTGATTTGTATAAATTTAAAAAGTAAAATTCTGGTGTTAGATATATAAATAAATAGGAATTGGGTGGTATGTATGTAAACTCGCTTAATATTTTTTTAAAACGAGCAAGCTCTCACATGCTAACAAGTGGAGCCATGGCTGGCTTGAGCTTGTAAGCTCTTCGAGTTTAGCTCTTGAGCTACCTATCATGGTGAACTCGAACCAACTCACAAGCCGGCGTGGCTCCGTTACATCTGCAACCTTCACTTGACTTTTGTTTTCATTTTTGCAAATGGATGATAGTCCCATTATGTTCTTATGTGGTTGGGTTTTTGTTTCTATTTCAGGATACATCTTCAAGGATTCTTAGTGGTTTGATCAAAGGACTAAAGGGGAGTAGAGCAGAGAGCAATTCAGATACTTCTGATTTTACTGTTAGATCCAGTTCGGATAAAGTAGAAGACTACTTTTTAAAAGATCCTTTCTTAGAGCCATCACCTAGTACAACAAACAACCACAAAGTTGAGCTAAGCATTGGTAAACTCTCCCATCTCTTTTTTCACTCCTTTGGTGAGCACGCACACACACTCACGAACACTCATACAGTTGAACTCAATACCGATGCATTCCCGCCCTTCAGTTTCGCTCCTGTTTCAGCCCGGATGGAGATTGTTTTGAACTTGGAAGGTTTTTCCTTTTAAATTCTTTGAATGTTAAAAGCTTGGCTCCCTCTACAATCTTGGGAAATTTACATACTTAGCACACAATTCTTATGGATTAACATATCTCATACCTAAACTTTCATTCTTACCTACATGGCACCTTAGTGCTTTAACCTATGCATGAAAAGGTACATTTCACTCGAACAAGTGATAATAGTGCTATTTTTTGGGATATTAAAGATTTGAGTACTATGTATGTAAATATGAAAGTTTAGCTGTGAGATATGTGAATACGTTAGATTTGTATATGTATGTAAATTCCCTTATAAATTGAAATGACATTTACATGCATACCACCTAATTCCTATGTATCTATTTATGTAGTGATTAAACTTTTTACATCCAGACCACCCAAATCTTTCCTATCACATCAAAAAATACCTTTGGCACGCACATGCGCGTGCACACTTACACTGTAGAGTTGAACTTATTATTCACACACTCTCGCCCTTCAATTTTGCTCTTTTGACGATTCATGCATATGCGCATATGTTTGACGCAAAATATAGATTGAATCATTAAAGTAGATAAACCTCTGGTTTTAGAATATTTCTTATTCTTTTTTTCAAAATGTAGATGACATTGAGATTGATGACAACCGACCCCAGGCATCGAGTTCATCTAATGTTTCGTGTTCTTCCGATGCAAAGAAACATAAGAGAAAAGGTGAATTGTCCACATCATATTTGAACTTGTTAAGCATTCGTTATTTGATGTCTACCTTGAATATTTCATGCTGCAGAAGAGAATAAGGAAAGAGAGAAGCTATTTGATGGTGCAACTAATGATGTGAAGCCCAGAGTAAGAACTCCTCAAGAAATCTTGACCCAATATAAGTTTGGCGGGGTAACTTCTTTATGCAAACTTTTATCCCTTTTTTGTTGGGAGATTTACATACATACCATGCAATTCATCTATATTTATATATCTAACACTTAAACTTTTATTTTTACATTTTTACTACCCAAATCTTTCATATCACTTCAAAAATAAAGTGAAATACAAATTTTCATGCATGGACAATGTGGCATGTATTTAAAATTTGAAGTTTAGGCATTCGATGTGTAAATACATTGGAATTAAGTGGTATGTTTGTAAATCTTACTTTTTTTATTGTGTTTATACTCTTAAAAAATCTCATGTTTGTTTTATCCCCAGGATGCTGCTGCTGCAGCAGCTCACGCAAAAGATAAACTGGTAGAAAGACAGGAAAAACTTGAGGTATCGCATACTACACTTGTTTATACTTGCTATTTGAGATTCATGTGCTATTTAATCATTTTATTTTCTTTGGTCCCTTATTTTAGACAAAATTTAGCTTAAATCTGGCCAATTAGAAATTTTGAGGAAATGCCATTGTTTTATAAAACACATTTCCAGGTTTCAAATCCTAAAATTCATAGGACTCAATTAGTAATTAGTCTGAAGAGTTTGGAATTAATGAATAACTAAATTAATAAATAAATAAATAATTATTAATTTAATTAAAATAATAAAAAATTAATTGAATTGAACTAATATAGCCAAACAGTTTCACATGATTTAATCGACTTTAACATGTCTTATCAAATAGTTTGTGAGATTCAACCCCAGAACTTACCAAACAGCCCCCAAGGATTTTTCATCTCACAAATCTTAAATCCTGCAACTAAATAATGAAACAGCTTATCAGCATTAAATAACTTTCATGTTTCCTATTCCAGTTAATACCTGTAGCCAAACAGCTCTATTGAGCTGTTTCTAGGATTTTAGGACTTATGATTGATTTATAGGGGCATTTAAATAGCACACAATTTTCAAGTATTTACATCTCACACCTAAGAGACATTATTGAGTCCGGACGGACACGATAAACTTTGGCGTGGGTTTTTTTTTTTTTTTTCCTTCCTCCTCCCCGGCGAAGATGAATGGCCTCCGTTGTCCGGATGCAGAGTTGTGTCTGAACTCCGGACGCTATAATTTTTCCACACCTAAAGTTCCATATTTGCAAATATCATTCAAATTTTTAGTTTTACATAAATAATAGCACTTTTATCATTTTTTTAAGTTCATAGGTTTAAACTCAATCAAAATGCTTTGTAAATATGATGTGTGAGATATGTATGTAAATATGAATTATAAGTACATGTGTGAGATATGGTAATGTCACTCTAGCCATTCGAATTAAGATGCCCCTTGAATTTCATGCGAAAACAAAGCATTGATATATCATAAAATCTCAATATTATACCAAAATTTAATGTGTTATTATTTTATCCCGGCATTACATGCATTTAATATTATGTCGCGGACATAATCTCTGTCCTACATAAAAAGAAATTTTGTGAACTCGGTCGGAAACTGATATGTTTGTGGGTTGTTTCATAATCACGGTTTGGGTCTTTTCACCATTCTTTAGGGATAATTACATACATAGTATCCGAAACATTGATATTTATAAATCAAGCACTAAGGTAATTTTATGAACTAGCCAACCGATGCATTTAGATGTGCCACACGATCAAATCATTGAGAACTTGATAAAATTTGAAAAATATGGGTTGGGGTTTTGTCATGAATTTTGATATTTGAGTGAGAATTTGAAAATATGGATGAAAGAGGCCGCATAATTTGTAAATAGCAATGTTTTGGCTGCTCTGTATGTAATTGCCTAATCTCGACATATAGCACGTAAATTTTAGCTTTTACATTTATTCACCCTTGCCTTTCATTTCATCTAAAAAATGTCACCATCCAAAAGTGAAATGCATCTTTTCATGCGTTGGTGAGGGTCAATATATGCAAAAAATAGAACTTTAGGCGTTAGATATGTAAATACATAGAAATTGAGGGCTATGTATGTAAATCTTTCTTTTTATTTATGTTGATCTTCTTTTTATTTTATTTTATTCCATGTATTAATAACAAAGTTCTCTTTCATGCAACCACAAATCCTCAATGAAGCCTCTATCTGTCTATGCAATTAAGTTACATTCTGCCCCTCTTCATCCCTCCGTATTGCAATAATATCATGGGCATTTACATACATACCACACAATTCTTATGTTTTTACATATCTAACACCTAAACTTTAAATATTTACATTCATAACACTCAAATTTTTAAAATCTCATCAAAATTATCACTTTTACAAACTTTTAATCTTTAAATGCATTTTCTTATGCAGAAGCTTATAGCTTCGAGGTGGTATAAATGTAAATATCAAACTTGGTGTTAGTTAGATGTCTAATTCATAAGAATTATGTTATTTTCCTCATAGGATATATATATATATATATATATATATATATATATATATATATGTTGCATTTTTTTTATTTAACACCCCTAAAAATTATTATTTTATCAGAGGTTAAAGAAAAATACTGAAGAATTGCAAAGTGGAGCTGAAAATTTTGCATCATTAGCCAACGAGCTTGTGAAAACGATGGAGAACAAGAAATGGTGGAAATTATGAGTTTAGGAATATATTTGAAAATGATTTTTTATAATGTTTTTATTATTATTATTATTATTATTATTATTTAATGTTAAAAAAGCTTGTCATGTGATTAATATGTACAAATTCCAGTGCTCAATTGCCTATAATTTTTATGGCTTTTGCAAATACTTTTTGTAATTTTTTTTTTTTTTGTTTTAATTTAGTGAAATTTAAATACATACCACCCCCATTCTTACATATTTACATATCGGACACCTATAACTTCAATTTTTACATGTACGACACTTGTCATTTATTTAGAAATTAAAATAATGATATTTTGATGTGATAGGAAAGATTTGGTTGGTACGAATGTAAAAGGAGTAAAGTTTAGATGTTAGATATGTAAAACCGGGAGAATTGAGTGGTTTGTATGTCAATACCCCTTTAATTTATCATTTTTTTTTTATCATTTTTTTTTTATCAATTTTTTCTACTGTCCATAGCAATTTGAGGTGTACGTTGACCAATGAAAGCATATATGTAATGATTTTAAATTTGATTTAATATAGTGTATATGAAGTATAGCATGAAAATGTTGATTTTGAGTGTTATAACGATCTTACTTGGTGTATATGCCATTTTATATATAGATTTGAATTTCTTATTTTTTTAAGTTAATTTTTTATTTTTTTTATACGGCAAAATGCATGGAGCCTTTGTACTCAAGGATTTGGACCCAAGTCTTCTTGGTTGTAAGATAAAGCTCCTAAACACTAGGCTAATGTGACTTTCATGTAGATAGAAGGGGGATATACAAGGGTTTCAATGATAGTAGGGATTGTGGATGAGGGTTTCGACACCAGGGCATTTAGGGGCAAATGCGTGTGCGGGCATCTTTGGGGCTTTTTGATGTTGTAGGGTTTGTTTGGGGTGGTGGTGCAATGACGGTGCAGGTGTTGGCACCGTAGTTTTGTTTATTTGGGTAAATTGTGTTCTGACAATTTTTTCAAAAGTTTCTGCTGAAATCTGTGTTTTCTCACAAGTCATGGTTATGTGTGGTGATAGCTTTCTACCTGCAATCAGATTTTTTTCAAAAAATAAAAAAATATAATCACAAATGTATTTTTTCTTACGTTAGATTATTTTTCAGCAGTTTTAAAATTATTTTTTAAGCTGAAACCAGTATAAATAAATATGTCATTTGCATAAGTAACACGCAATTCTTATTTGTTTACGTATCTCACACCTAAATTTTATATTTGCCTATATGCCACTCAAATTTTTAATAATATCACCTAAAAAATATCAATATGATCATTTTTTAAAAGTGAAATTTATATTCTCATATATAAGTTTAGAACACAAAAATATGATGTATGTTAATATGAAAGCTTAGGTGTGAGTTGGTAAATACAAGAATGATGTGGTAGGCATGTGATATTTCTAAGTCAGTCTCTAGCAAATGCATAAAATATGTGATTTTAGCACAATAAATTTGATGCACCCCTCATTGTGTTATCTTACAAACCATGTAATGTGTATGCTACTACAGCTTGTTTAATTAGCATGAAAGCTTAGTCTTTGGGCGTTGCGAGTAGAGGGCATTGGTTCTACCCTTAGAATTAAGGAATGTTCTTGTTCGTGGTCGTGCTAAATCATGGAAGGTTTATGCCAATTCGGCCATTGAATCTTAATAATCTAACTCAAAATTTCTTAACCTTTTGGCTTGTGAGTTGAGAGCGACTTCATGTTCATACTCGATCTTTCAAAACTTATTTAGATGGAGAGTCGAGTTGTTGTAGGCTTCTGGAATATGGATTCTATATCTAAACTTGATCTTATACTATTATTGAGCTTGAGATTTGCATGTTGATTGTTATCCTTAAGTTATTTGAATCAACAAAATAGCTCGACACGTAGGCTCTTGAGCTTGTAACTTTTCGATTAAGCCTTTTAGGCTTATTGATCGGCGACTCGATATTCAAACTCTAGTCCTTTATGAGTTTGTTGACAATAAAATAGATTAAATCTTAGGCTTTAGAGCTGAAATGAATTTCCATCACCACAAACAAACTTGGCTTGGGTTTAGGGTTTTGGGTTGGTAGTTGACTTTCATGATTTTTTATTGTCGAGAAATTGTTTTTGGGTTGATTCATATAATTTTTTTTCTTATTTTTGTTTGGGACAGCTGCAACTTATTAACAAACTATTAATAAGCAGCTGAAAAATTAATTTGTTGTTCAAAATATTGTGATGGTTATTACAATTTTTTTTTTTGGAAAAGTCAGACCGCGACTAGAAAACTGCCACCACACCTAGCCATGAACAGTGTGAAATCACTGATTTCAGCAGTTTGAAAACACAGCTTTTTGAATAAACTGCCAAAACATAATTTACCCTTACAAAAGAACCAACTTAATATTATTCTAACCAGTTTGGTTTATGGAGCTTATTGTGCTAATTGTAAACTACTTCAATGCTTGGACTTATATAGCTGCAACACAGCTAAAAAAATTGATTTGACTAAAAGTGTGTGTTGACCAAATGACTATCCCCTGGCTTTTGTGTTGGGCCAATTAATCATGCATATTTCTTTTTTGACAGTGTGACATCCGTGGACGGCATGAGATTTCCCAAATGGGCCATTTTTAAAATATATAAAAATTATATAT